CAGGGCGGCTAGGGTCTGGAACCAGCTTCCAAGTGAGGTGGTGCAGGCTCCCACCCTGGGGGTTTTTAAGAGGAGGTTGGATGACCACCTTACTGGGGTCGTTTGACCCCAGTGCTCTTCCTGCCATGGCAGGGGGTCGGACTAGATGATCTGCTCAGGTCCCTTCCGACCCTAGAAACTATGAAAACAAAAATGACAGTCACTCGCTCGCACATGTGGGACTTGCCTGCTTGCTGCTCTAGTGTTAGGGTGCTGAAATGTTGTGGAGCAGAATCATTCTGTCACCCTCTTTTCACAGGAAACCCTGCTGTTCCTAACTGTGGGAGATGAGAAAGAAGCTGGTCTCTTCCTCCTGGCTGGGCCTATCGAAGTAGTTGAGAATTTAGGTCCCAGGTAAATTGTTGTGACCTTCATTAAGTTAGAACTGTTATTAAGAAAAGGAAGCTGAATTCCTGTCTCAGGTAAAAAAGAAACATCATTTCTGATTATCAGAGGAAGGGCCAAGGTGGCTAGGTACTGACCATTTCCAAACGGATGCAGTTTACAAGTTACCACATGTAGACTTCCTGGCTTTATCACATTGAATTGTTACTGCAGGGTGGCTGAAATCTTGGAAGGCAAAGGAGCTGGGAAACGGGGCCGCTTCCAAGGCAAGGCAAACAGGATGAGCAGGCGAGCTGAAGCACAGGCCCTGCTCCAGGAATTCATTGGCCACCAAAGCCCAGAAGTATGAAGAACAGCCCTTTCCCTTGGACTATCCTGCCTGGAAGCATAATGGTATGCCACCACTGACACTCCTAGAATAATAAAGATATGGGAAGAATGACAGTGTTTCTGTGCTGTTTATCCAACCAGAGCTGGGAAGGAAGCTGCCTCCCTTCTCAGACAAGGGTTAATTTTTCTTGGTTCTGCAAGGGGTTTTATTCTGTGGGGGGGCACAGTTGGTGAGGATTAAGTGAACTTGGCCCTAGTAAGAGGTTTGAGAAGTGGACAGCCAAGTCCTGTCTTTCATCTCTAGCTCAGTCAGTGATGCTACAAACTTGCCCACCTCTAGGAAGGTAGAAGCTTCCATATCCTAACACTTATGGCTAGCCTCATATCCTAGATCAGTGGTCTCCAAACTCTTTTGATAGCACACCCCTATCAGTAAAAAATTTTTGAGCACACACCCCCAATATATATGTTGCAATACACTGAAAGCGAATGAACGAGTGAGGGCGCCACTGTCAACCCCTCCACGTTGTGGAACTCCCACTCTTCCTTCAGGATACCTCCCGTGCCGTATGTGACACGTGACCATCTGACATACGGACCGAGTGAGGGCACCAGTGTCAATCCGTATATTAAATATTAGTGAAGCTTAATTTCTTTCTTATTTTTTTAGATAAAAAATATAAATAGAAGTTCTAATATTTTTTTCCCCACACCCCAATGGATCGTCTTGCGCACCCCCTGAGGTGCACACACCCCACTTTGGAGATTGCTGTCCTAGATGACTAAGCTGAACTCTGTCCAAGGCCCCCCCAGCCCCTACTAACATCCATGTTTTTCCTGGTGATCCTTGGGCTTTGCCTTACTTTGGTGGTGATCAATACCATCTGTTGCAGAACAACAGGAGACTAGGAGTATATTCCAGGTTGTTACAAACAGTCAGAACTCCCCTTTAACCATGTGACAGCCTCCTGATGTACTACTTAGAGCAGAGTGCAGAGGGCTGGAGTTTGACACTTGCTAACTGTTAGAGAAAATGAACTGGGTTTTTGTTGCTAAGTCCTGGGAAAGAGAATCACTAAGGTCTTGGGGTGGGAATAGGTGGGATGCTGGAATCCGCTCCCAGTGCTTAAGTAAAGAGCAGGTGGAACCAGGGGCTGAGCACAGCCATCCAGATGAGCCAGATACTTGTTGCTTTGCAGAGACAAACCTGAAGGAATGTGGCTGAAGGAGGTGATTAAAGTCTGTAGCAAAGAATGATGGACCTATACTGGGTATAGCAAGTTGCTCAGACCCTGTATTGTGCAGGATGTTCATACTGGCTGCTGTTCTCTGGTATTCAGAGGCTGCTGCAGGGCCTGGAGGACTTAATCTGTTTGTGCTGAGGCGAGTGTTGCTGTTGGGTCCATTTTTGTTGCATTTCCTCTCCATGCTGGTTATACATGCTGCTACTGACCTCTGAACTCAGCTGCTTTTTCAGCCAACTGCATACCAACCCAGTTACAAACATGATGTGAGTACTGTCAAACTGGGGCCATAGAGAGTTCCTTATACAGATCAGTGTTACCTAGAAATGTCCTAGAGTATCATGTGCTATATTGACACTCACTGCCCATCCTGGTATGTGAATTACACAAATCCGTTCAACTTGGTGCAGCTACACAAAGCAGAGTGTGACACCCACTGCTGGTGACTTAAGCAAATGGCTGGTACCTTTTCCTTGGGCACTTATTTATATGCAAATATATCTGTCTCCTCATGCTGGCCATGGGCTTTTTCCCTTTCCTTGCAGCTGGTAATTTTTTTTCTCTATGACAGCATCTTCTGTTTTTGAGGCCAGCACATATCCACATGTATTGCTTTTTAGCAAAGAGTGAACTGCAGGCCATCGTGCACTGCTAGGACTACAGGCAAGCCAGCCACATTGCCCCTTTGTAGAGCTGGGCAAGAAAAAAAATGTACATTGTCATAGATGAGAGTATGACTTGGATTTGGGTGCCTAATTCCTTTAGGAAAATCCAGCTCTGCAGCATTAGTATCTTGCAGGAACACAAGTTTCTGTAAAGGGAAATGGGGGAGGCTTGCCAAGCTCTCCAGCATCCCTTGCCTTGAAGGTGGAAAGGAGTGGTGGTCCTGCAGATATAAGCTCTGTCCCATACTCACCTGGTGCCCCTTTTTTAATCACTGAAACTATTATAAGACCAGGACACCATCTTCCATGTGACAAGCAAATCCCAAGGAACCAGACTTGCTGCTTTGATGGCTTCCAAGTTTTTTGTCCCATGCATGTTCTGTGGTGGGTACTGGGGAAAATGTTTCAAGCCTTTTGTGAACCAAAAGTACATGTAGCATCTACCTCAAGCTCAAGGTTCCTCCACATTCTTTCTGCCAGAGCTTTCTCAGATAGGGTGATATATAAATTAAATCAATCAGTCAATTTCAGTAGGCCCAAAATGGAAGCCCAAGTTTTCTACAAAGAATTTCTTGAATCAGGTCTTAATTGCAGTCGGGTGTTTAGGCAGAAGTAAACTAAACTCGACAGGGGGAGCAATACCATACCAGACCTGGGGCACACCACTAGTACATCTACAGCAGAGTTTTGCACTAGTGCAGCAATAGCCATTCTTGGAAACCCCTTGTAGGCAAGCCTAGCACTCTGCTACTCTTCTTGTCCACTCTGGAATGCTTCTCCCCTAGGGATGAGCTGTTCCTGGCTCTAATACATTCCTGTCTCCTGTTTTATAGAAGGAACTTTGTGACCTCTCTGAACTTCTGCCTGCTAGGGGAGGACAGGTCTAGCTCCTGGCAAGAGGAGACTTGCAGCCAGGATGGTGCCAAGCTCTCTCTAGTGCTGTACAGTAGGATTGTCCAGCTTCTGAGTGGAAGGAGGCTGTACGCTGTACTGGGCAGTAGTGGCCAGGTGGCGCAGTTACCAACCCAAGACACTTTAGATTGGCAGTCTGCCAACTTTTTACTGGCATATAAACTTTGTTACTTGCGTGTGATTTTACTGTCAGTAAAAAAAGACTTCTTGGGTTGGCAGCCCTTTGTGACTGCAGCAGTGATTTTGTATCCTGCTGCCCCTGGCACAGGTTCCCTATTCATCCCATACCCTGATACACTCCTGACTGCACCCCCGCCCCATGTTGCCCTGACCCCCCATCTCCCCCAATCCTGCTGGCCCTGCTCCCCCTGTCCCAGCACAGATCCCCACCTGCTGCCTTTCCCACACCTGGCCCACAGCTCTGTCCTGGCTGCACTGCCCACCTCTCTGTATCTTTGAGATGAGCAGCTGTTAAAGGTAAGGGATGGGCAAAGGGCCCCAGCAGCAGCACATGACTAGGGAGGAGTGGGGGGTCTACCTAGAGGTGGCCAGATATGCCTGGAGAGCTGTGTTACAGATGGAGTGGAAGTAGTTAAAAGTTTCTGCTACCAACATACTGAGAGGTGGAAATGTCTGTGAGAGCAGCAGACCGGCTAACAAATCTACATGGTGTGTGTCGTCGGTACAGCAAGTCCTTGTGCAAGGTATAGGACCAAGTGCTGTGTGCCTGCAGAATCATCCACGGGATTGCCAAGGCCATTGCTAACATATAGGGCAATGATTTCTGGACAGTGTGCTATGAGAGCAGCAGAAGTATGCCATGAAAAAATAGTCTGGATTAGGCCAAGCCAAGCTGGCCCTCATAGCAGAATCGGGCCCATGGACTAGATCCAGTCTGCAAATCACTGAGTAAATGGTGTTGCCAATTTTAATTTAGAAAAAAGTGTGCCTCAGTTATGAAGTTTGGGAAACACTGATCTAGTGTCTACTGGGAGTAGGCTACTTCCAGCTGTGTCACAAGGCCATTCAGTGCCTGACCTTGATCTATGAGATAACATTATCAAATATCCACACAAGCCAGGCAGAAGGGTTTGAGACAGCTGTGCTCTATGCTTGTTTCTCTTGGCTGCAGTTGCTCACTGGTTTAGCCCTGGCAGTGTATGCTCCCCATTTGAGTCAATGGTTGGTCCAGATTAGAGAACAACCATCTCCAGATGGGAGGACAGGGTTCTCTCAAACTTGTCTTTCTCCTGTCACAAGGCTGTAGGTTGGTGGTGGAAGAGGCAGTAAGACCCTCACTAACAATGACAGTAGTGATCACCTGATGGGAGGGGAAAAGGAAGCAAACTGTAAAGATGACACTGGATAAGCAGACAAGAGACCCACATGGGCCAGGACCTTGCCCAGGGTAGGCCACAGAGGGTATAAATGCAATGGAGAAGTGGCACATTTTGTCACATTCACATGTCTCTGCTAAAGCAGTTCTCAGGAATGGCTGAGTTTACTGCTCCCCTTCCACCAGCAGGTGGCCTGAGAGAATACATACATAGCATAGCTGACATGGCAGGCCCACTAGGTGTCCCACAGGCATGTGGCGAAATTTTTGTGGGAGGTTTTGTGCCCAAATTCCTGCTGCATTTGCCCTGCCACTGAGTCACCCTCTGACTTAGCTCATCCTAGTACCTGATGCAAGGAGCAGTGAGGGCTTGCAGAACCCAAAGATGCAAGAGATCCCGAGACCCTGCAATTCTGCAAAACCTACTATTCTTATTGTGCCTGCAATACCAATACCATTTCCTATGTTTGTAATAATGCTGTCTGTGACTGTGACCCAGAGTTTCCACTGCCCGGCAGGTTGCCAGGCACTGCATGTTTGCACTGCATGGCCACTTTAATGTATAAATAAAATGTAGTGCGTCTGTTAAATACTGTTGGCTGAATTCAAGGTCTCGTCTGTGTGGTTTTCTCCAGTGCTGGCAGGAGATGATGATGATGGCGGGGTGCGGTCCAGGAGTGGCATGTTAAGGGAGAGCGGTAGTGGGGGAGGGGGGAGTGGATGAGAGTTTGGACTGGGGGTAAGGGTGGGGGGTAAATACTCAGCTGCGTGCTGAGCATTGCTCTGGAGCTGTGGTTGGGGAAGGGAGGTGATGTGGAAGCTCATCTTCATCTATCAAGGAGAGGCCAGGTATGCTGGGGCCATAGCACAACTACTGGGTTCCTGTAGGAGGATGGGCTGGGGCATTAGATGGGCATTAATTGAAGCAGTGACAGTTGCTGCCTGCCTACACAGC